ACCGGAAGTGAACCGAGCAGGGGTGAGTACTTATGGGACTACTGTATCAGAGCTATCAATTGCGCTCTGCACTATCTGAGATTGTCTCACTAGTTCTCAGATCAGAGTGCCTCTCTCCATTCAACCTCGTTCCCAGGTCCAAGCCAGGGAAAAGGCCCTGGGAACGAGGTTGCCTCTCCATTCAGCTGTATAAATGGATATCGGGGAATTTAAGGCTGTTGACATTCCAACGATGGAACGGCATCCCATCCAAGGGGGAGTGAAAAAACGCCTAATCGCTCCAGAAACCGGGATAAGCTCCGGGGGTACTCCCTTATATGGACTATAGGGGTATGTGCGACAGGATCAGATTGCTTGTTTCTTGATCATGAGGTTCTCGATCTCTAAATAGGATATCATTTTTGCACCTTTTTAATAAGTTGGCATTGTGTTCCCAGTGTGATCGTTAATTGTATAAGCTTAACCCGGCAGCTAAAATTGCAGTGCGTAAATGCCCGGCTAAACAGAAAATAACTTTTATCCTTGATCCTTAACTTCCAATGTTACAGAAAGGAAATGTTATAAAGTTGACCTGTTCACGACATTCTTAGTTTTTGGTTTCCCTTGACTTGAGTTTTATTCTTCGGGTTTGGGCCTTAAATAGGGTATCAATTTTCTTTTGCTTTGTCCTTAAATACGGTCAGGGTTGAAGACCCTTTGCGGCACACACCTATCTGAAATTTATGAGAGTTCCCTGCGGCCCCCCCCCCGTCCCCCGCCTCCCTGGGTTAACCTCCGCCTGTGCGCGAGCGGTTGCGTTTCGCGCTCTAACTTATTCGCCGACGCAGACTATTTTCTATTCTCCCACTAAAAATTGGCCCAGTGAATATACTATAAAACTCTCTCATTCTAAACCTAACTGGGCGTTTTCGTTTAAAAACATACATCTGTAGTTGCATATCTCGTGAGATCGTGAGTTACCCTTAGCAATAATAAGTCTCTTATGAATGGATTCTTGACAAGGTCCGTTTGTTTCCGAGCGCCGACAAATTCAACCAATCACAGGGGCCTCTCACCGTCACATGATCAAGTTGTGAAAACTACAGTATAATCCATTTCATGATTGCCTGTTTGAAGCGCTTGTCTTGTGAAACTGCGGTTTCGTTCTCTCTTTATTCACTTCAATCATGGACTGGCTTTAGCAGGGGATTAATGTGCATTTCTTTAAGTCCATGCCTTCCACTAGAAAGCCGTGTGGCGGTCGAAGGAGACGCGGTTGGGTTTTGTGTTTGTTCGCATGCCTTCTTGTAAACTTGTCTGATGAAACTCCATTCGACTGTTCGCGGAATTCTACAATTTCGACCAGCGCGAAAGAATCTTTCTTCGATTACAAGACTTCTGTTGTAGAGAACGGTAAGTAGAGTCACTGACTTGTTTCAATGATTGTTAAGACTTGTAAGGATTCATCAGTACTTTGTATAAGAGCACCGATATCTTCTCGCACATTCATCATGTCACATGTCTGTTGTGAGCTTGATTTTACCAGTAAATGGACAATATTTCATACTAAACTGATTGAAAGTTCCAAAATATTGTTAAGCCTTGAAGCAATTACATTGCTTACATGTTTGTTGTTTGCCATGCGTTGACGCCATAGTACATATATGAGCTACTAACTGTGTTGTCAAATCACTGAAGTCGACTTTCTTTATTTTGTTGTTTGCGCGACTAAAATAAAGCAAACCAATAGCGTTTTCACAAGTGTGGTTTTGAATCCTAATCACTTGGGAAAGAATTCTCGAGTGTAATAACAGATGCCATGGTAGATCAGTTATTGAATATGAATGGAAGTTACAAATTTTCACATGTTCCTGTACGTAAGTTCAAAATGTAATTGATTTGACGCTCATTTTAGTCAAAACTTAGTGTAAACCCATGCTTGAGTTTTCGCTGGTTTAATTGACTCCACCTTGCACTAATGCATGTCTAGCTGATTATAAATGTAAGGGCAGGGGAATGGCCAAGTTGAAACCAGTACACTGTGCTTGTGCTACACAGCATGTATATAGATTAAACCTGCTGTACAAATCACATACGTGTGCTTTAAGGCCTGGACACTGGATGTAACACTGGGTGCAATTTATCTATACATACATGTACAGTAGATGTAAGTTGCACCTACCATGTTTCCACCACTGAAATTTGCACAATAGTGTATGTAACAATTCTGAAGAAGGATGGTGAAAGCAAGACATGTTCATGTTGTAGTTTTGCTGCTTGCAGTGTTGTGCTTAATGTTGCACCATTTGTCTGGGTCTTCAGAATGTAAATTTTCTGGGTTTTTTTGTCCATCGGGCAGACACAGTATGTGTGTTCTTGTATGAAATGGATACAATGGAATCCCGATTTCTCAAACCCTTATTTTTTCGAACCTCCTGATAACTCAAACCAAAAGTTGTTCCCTCCCCTCAGTCAAACACTGTAATTCTACCCCCTATTTCTCAAACTCTCTGATTTTTCAAACCAATTTTTGTTTCCCTTGGAGGTTCGAAAAACTGGGATTTCACTGTAATATCTAAATAGCTGACTTGGTAGTTAGAAACAACCTCCTGCAATACATATCAACTTCAAAATCCTGATGGAGGAAAAAAAGACAGTTTTCAGAGCTTGAACACCAATAAATATTTTGAAGTATGATCTAAATAGACAAACTCAAATCACCAGACTGTGTGGAACTTGTGTTTATTAAGTTGCCAGATGGGATTGTTTTCAGACTTGGTCTTGGAAACAAACTGTCTCTAAGCGTGCGTTCCTTTGGGGTGATCTGGATCCGGATCAGTGATCCAAGATCACTTGGATCATGGTGCATCAAAGAAACTGACGAACCCACTCTGGTCACGGATTCACTGGTTCCTTTGATACACCATGATCTGAGTGATGTTGGATCACTGATCCTGATCCAGATCATCCCAAAGGAATGCACCCTAATTCATTTGGGAAACACCAGTTGTTAACAGGTGTGTTTAAAATAGGAAATGGCAAAATGATGAAATGACACTACTGTTAGCTTACAGTAAATAGCACTCCTGTTAGCCTAAATGGCACTCTGGTTAACCTGAATAGCACTCTGGTCAGCCTAAGTAGCACTCCAGTTAGCCTAAATTATAATAGCCCTCATGTTATCCTAATTATCACTGACTCGACAGTGGCGCTAATTTATCGTAAGGGTTCAGACACCCATATCCCACATTGTCTGTTACAGTGTACCTCACTTACATGTACATGTAGTAGTGCCAGTTGGTCATTTTGCTATTTTGTGTTTTAAACATGCTGGTAGTTAACAGCATTATTTTGGCATGGATAATTGCTTAGTATTGTAACATACACATGTCATCATCTTCTCCTTGCACCATGCTAGTGTGTTTGTAATTGGAGTGCTTCTGCTGTTATTTTTGTTTGTGTGATATTAATGATAATTTTAAGGGAGTGGGGAGAAACACTCAGCATAAAGTTTAGGAGAGGACTCTTACATGTACATGTAAATAAAAGGACAGTACAACTACAGCATACATAATTTACATGTATACATAAGAAGATTTTAAAAAACACTCTGTTAATGAAAAGCCTCTGAAACAATTAACATGTGCATGTATAGTAAACTAAAATGAAAACTACAGTAATTTTAATTTGTTGTTATGAGAAAGAAAAAGATTTAGAAACTGAACCGTGGAGAGACTCTTCTAATTTTTGTTGCATGCAAACAGTGCATGAATGAAGGTTTCCCAAAAATGTCATGTCTACCATCATTACTGAATATACATTGTAAACACTTCATTTTGTACTTAACTAGTCACGATGTAACACAGGCTAGAGAGGCATATACAGGCATGTACAGATCTGTAAATTCTAATTCTATGCTTTTATAAATATTCGTTGCATATATGATATGTATTTCTGTTTGAAATCTGAAGTGCGAGAGTGCAGTTTCCTTTTAAAAGAAGCCATCTAAAATCAAAGGAGCTTTCTGTGCTATAATTATGTAATTAATCCAGTATCAGTTAAAAAGCGATAATTTTTAGTGCAAGAGTGCAGTTTCCTTAACAAGTAAAGCCATCTGAAATCAAATGAGCTTTCTGTGCTGTAATTGAATGGCTTAGTGCAAGACTGACGTAAGTGACTTTTTC